GCACGCCCATTCGTAGCTGCATAGTAAGCTGATGAGTTTCGCTGCTTAAAGTCAAAAAGCTTGCAGATCTTGTCCATCAACTTGTTGTCAAAGGGCTTCCCGTTATCTGTTAAGATATATCGTGGGATACCAAATCGATAGACGATATGGACACGGAGAAAGTCTGCAACATTTTCTTTCTTTACCTCCTTCAATGCTACAGCTTCCGCCCATTTTGAAAAGTAGTTGGTGGCAGCTAGTATGTATGTGTGCCCTGCAGATGACTTAGGTGTAATTGGGCCAACCACATCAAGTCCCCAAGCATCGAATGGCCAAGATGCAACTGTTGGGTGTAGAGGTTCTAGTGGCTGATGGATAAAGTTTGCATGATACTGACAAGTTTGACATCTTCGAGCATAGTCTATGTAATCCTTTACCATTGTAGGCCAATAGTAGCCCATTCGCTTAATGTGGACGTGTAACTTGGGACCGGATTGATGTGCACCGCAAACCCCGGAATGAGCTTCTTGCATAGCTTGTAAAGCTTCATCTTCCCCTAGACATCGGAGAAAGACTCCTTCGAATGACCGACGATACAACGTCTCTTTATAGTAGATGAAGCGAGGAGTTCAACGCTTTATATCCACCCTTTTATGAGGATCTCCAGGTATCTTCCCATCAGTGAGGTAGTCAATTAGCGGTTGCCTCCAGTCGTCCTTGCCTGTATCATAAACTGGGGCAGTAGGGAGTTCAACAGTTTCATCAACTGAGCCGTCTTCATTGAAGATTGGTGGAACTACCCACTTTTGACATACTCGCACTCGGGCTGCAGGATGAGCAATAGTCGAAGCCAATGCGGCTAAAGCGTCAGCCTTCTTGTTTTCTTTCCTTGGTATATGTTCAATTGTGACATCCCCTAACCATTGCATTACTATCTTTGCATGGTTGTTATATGGGACTAACTCCGCATTTTTCACTTCATATAGACCCAACACTTGGTTTATGATCAACTTTGAATCTCCATAAATGTTAATTCTCAGCTGCTTCATGTCAGCCGCTATTTCGAGCCCAAGTATCAATGCTTGATACTCAGCAACGTTGTTTGAACATTGCTCGGTCAAGGTGAATGAATATGGCAACACCTCGGCCTTCTGCAGTGACGAAGACAACTCCAGCACCTGCCCCTTCTCTATGTGAAGCTCCATTAAAGTACATCTTCCATGGGGGTAGGACTTCAATGACAAGCACATCTTCATCAGGCAAATCGTCAGACAACTCCCATTCAGCAGGTATTGGGTGATCTGCTAGGAAATTGGCCAAGGCTTGCCCCTTGACAAACTTTTGCGGCACATATATAATTTCAAACTGTTGAAACAATAAGTACCACCTTGCGAGGCGGTCGGAGAGAACGACCTTCGCCATAACATATTTCACCTGGTTCGCTTTGGAAACAAGCCGGATGGTATGAGCCTCGAAATAGTGTTTAAGTTTTTTGATGGCGAACACAAGTGCCAAACATAGCTTTTCAATTGGGGAGTACTTTAACTCGTTCGGGGTCATCATTCTACTGAGATAGTAGAGAGCATTCTATTTCCCCTTGTCGTTTTCCTGAGCAAGCAAGGCGCCAACAGAACTGTCTTAGACGGAGATATAAAGGATCAGCGAGCGACCATGAACAGGAGCGGCTAGCACAGGCGGATTCATCATGTATGACTTTATATTCTCAAATGCGTTCTTGCATGCCTCATCCCATATGAATGAGATGCCCTTTTTCATCAACCGACTAAAAGTTTGACATATTCCTGCTAGGTTTGATATGAACCTTCGGATGTAATCTAACTTCCCTTGTAAGATTTTAAGCTCATGAAGGTTTCTCGGCTCAGGCATCTTCATTATGGCGTCAATTTTGGCCTGCTAGATCTCGATGCCCCTGTGTCGAACAGTAAACCTGAGGAACTTTCCAGCAGCAACCCCGAAAGCACATTTCAGGGGGTTCATTTTGAGTTGAAACTTCCGTAGGCGGTCGAAGACTTGCCTTAAATGCACCAGGTGGGTTGTACGCAATTTCGACTTCACAACCAGGTCATCTACGTAGCACTCGACCATTTTATGGAGCATATCATCAAATATTGTCTGCATAGCCCGTTGCTATGTAGCACCTACATTTTTCAAACCAAAGGGCATTACTTTGTAACCGTAGATGCCTTTCGGCGTTCGGAATGCAGTTAAGTCTTCATCTTCCGGCGCCATGCAGATTTGATTGTAACCAAAGGAGCCATCCATGAACAGCAGGATCTCATGCCCAGTCACGGCATCTATCATTAACTCCGTGATAGGAAGCGGGAAGTCATCTTTCGGGCATGCCACATTGAAGTCACGAAAATCTACGCAGACGCGGATCTGGCCGTTCTTCTTGCGCACGGGCACAATACTGGATATCCAGGTTGGATATTTAACTTCATGAATGAAGCCACCCTCAATAAGCTTATTAACTTCTGTTTCAATCGAGGGAATGAGCTCGGGGCGGAAGCGTCGTTGAGCTTGCTTAATCGGGCGACACCCCTTCTTCACTGCTAAGCGGTGCACAGCTACCTTTGGGTCTAACCCTGGCATATCCTTGTATGTCTATGCAAAGACATCAATATATTCTTTCAGCAATGTGACATAGATTTCTTCATCTTCATCAGATAGGAGTGCGCTAATGAAGATAGGACGAGGATTTTCAGGAGTTCCCAGATCAACTTCTTTTAATTCATCCACTGCGGCTCATACCCCTTCTTCTAACTCATGGGGTGCCTCTTCCGCATCTTCTCCCTCAATCGGAGTCTCATCACATAAAGTAATATGGAACAACGATGCCACCTCTCACTGAGTAGTTGGTGGTACGTCATCACTTGAGCCTATGCTTTCATCATTTTCCTCTGTATGTACACGAGTGTGTACAATGGTCTTCGGTTGGACTTTCAACACTTCACCACATGAAACATGAATATATGTTTCTCGTCTCATCCGAGAAGGAATCATACTTCTAAGCCTTTTGGGAGGTTCCATTTCAGCAGGAACATTGGCACTGTCTTTTAACAACTTGGACAACTCCAAGTCGATCATACATTGCCTTCTCTTTAGGGCTTTAGGACTTGACCCCGGTCTATCAAAGACTGAGCGTCGATAGTCTGCCTTACCGATTCGGTCGAAGACTGACTTCTTTTTGTCTTGCCCATTATCATTGGTAGGTGTGAGCTTTGGGTCATACTCGCTTCCCTCCGCGGAGATACAATTACTTGCAGCCCTATTTATAAGAATTCGCACTGGTTTAGGGGGGACATAGCCCAACCCTTTGCCCGTTTAAGGTTCTTGGTGACTTGCCTTGCCTTTACCACCAGCTTCTGGGATAAGCTTTCCCAACTTCTGTGGCTCGTTGGGGTTATAGCCAGCTTTGGCTAGAAGCTTATAAGCGTTAGGGTCGAAACCCTCGGTACGCTTGGCAGGGAATATTTGGCCCAATTTATCACCACCTTTCTCTTCGGATGATTTTGCTGCATTTGCTTTGAGTGTATCAATCCTTGCAAGCGGGAAAATGAATTTCGTGTTGTGTTGATCTCCCTCTACAACTTGTTTTCCCATTGACTTTGATCGGGAAGGTGGATCGTTATTGCTTTCCTCAATATCTTCAATAATAACTTGCCTTTTAATGTAGAACTTTGCATCCGCAAAGTAACACTCAGTCTCTGTGAAAGGGTTTTCATCGGCGACAACCTTTTCAACTACGCCGTTCTTTTCAAACATGAGGCATTGATGCCAAAACAAGGGTACCACCCCATTTTCATGTATCCACGGCCTTCCAAGTAACAAGTTATAAGATGTCCTTGCATCTATCACAGCTCGAAGGGATAGGATGTTGACAGCTGAACCTTTATCAACCATAATTCTTTTGAGCTTTTGCCCACGGGTATAGCCTTTAACAAATAATGGGCGATTGTGTGGCGTGCCTCCAAGTCACAAGTCTTCATCCTTGAAGGAAATTTCTGTGGAGTAGGAAATAGCTTTCTGCATTAGCACTTCCTCATCCCCGATGTGTTTGGGAGATGAACATTCTCCTTCATCTTCTGGCTTGTCATTTGTATTGAGGCAGGAGCTAGCAGTGTCTACCCCTTGAAGATTAAATCCTTTTGGCATATATTGAGCCAAAGGAACTGGTGCTCGTGGTTGCTTGACATGCCCCTTCGTCTTTGGTCTGCGGGCATGGCCACTTGTTGAGGTTTTCTCAACCCAACTTCTCGTTGTGTGCTTAGGGTGTCTCCCAAACTCAACTTTCTTCTTTCTATGAGCGATAATCACCCATTTTCCTTCAGATGTATTATCATTTTGCTGTGGTTCTGAACTTTGACCAGCAACATGCTTATCAATGAAGAGGAGTGGACGTTTCCGTTGCTTCCCATCTTCCACTACAAGAAAAATCGCGAATCGCGACGGAATTATTCCGTCGCGAATGGGCAAATTTCCGTCGCGAATCGAGTTTTGCGACGGAATTTATTCCGTTGTCTATCACCTTGTCGTATTTTGATAGACGACGGAATAGTTCCGTCGCAAAATTTGGCGACGGAACATTTCCGTCGCAATTCCGTTGCAATTTTCACAACGGAACATTTCTCGTCGCAATTCCGTCGTTATTTATAAACCGAATATTCCGTCGTCATATTATCTTTTCCGTCTCCAATTCCGTCGCAAAAAACACGACGGAAAACATTTCTGTCGTGATTCCGTCGCTTTGTTTGCAACAAATATTCTGTCGCAAATCTTATATTCTGTCGCGATTCTGTCGCATTTTTTGAATTCTTTTAGAGTAAAATTATGATTTTTAAATAGTAATGAATTTTTTAAAAATATTAATATAAAAAATACTATTAATTCTAAAATATAATATAATATAACATAATTCTACATTAAGTTCAAGTGATAATACATTACCAATTCACATTTAATACATAATAATAGTCAATTCAAGTCTAAACAACATAATAATACATTATCAATCCACATTTAATACATAATAATAGTCAATTTAAGTATAAACAACATTGTAATAGTCTTAACAAATTAAACAACCATTAAAATCAATTGATTTGAAATGGATGTGATGATGAAGTACCCGCTCTCCCGCCATCAATAGCATCAAGTCGTTGCATAAGGAGAATAGTAGCCTTCAAACTCTTCTTTTCTTGACGTGTCCACCAACCGCGTCATAGTATAATTGACTATCATCCACCTGCTCCCCATTTTCTGCCAACATCTCCCGTTACGATGCAATTTGTTCCTAAAATATGTAAGAAATTTAGTACAAAATATATGTAAAGGCATATATATTTAAAAAACTAAAAATAAATTAAACTTACATGAATTTGTCTGGCTTTTTCAGCTATGAATGTTTGCCCATTGTGTTGTTTGGTATGTGTATGCTTGAACAGTTCATAATACGATGGACAATGACCCAATTGTCCTTCCTACAAATTATATTTAACAAACAAAAGCAATTTTTAAAGTAAGAAAAAATTCGGCAGAGTTGCCTTTGTAAATAAAACTATCTCCCTGTTCAATATATAATACAATTCAATTATAGTCTCCAACATCAATCAATAAACTCAATAAAACACAATCACAATCAACAGAAAACATAAAAAGATGTCACTATAAGTAAAGAATTCCAACGATCAAAATACCAACAATCAACAGTTTGCAAGAATCTAATAACAACGTCAACCAAATCCTAGCAAGACATCAAACAAAAAGCTTAGAATTATCTCTAAATGCTAATATAAATTGTAGGGCTATTATCTTTCCAAGCAATATGCTCTATAGTATATGAGAGTGAGGAAGTTGTTGGTTAAACATAATTATGATTTTCAACCAATACAAAACACATAATACTTATAACTTAAACAATTCAAATGAACTTACAAGTTGAGGTGCAACTTTTACGTGAGGTGTTGACCCTGTGGTATGGGTAGATTGAGCAACTCCAGTTAAAACTCCTCCACACCTATTTTTCTTAGCCAATTTTGTTTTCTTCTTGCCCTCCTCGGAATTCCAAACATCATTCTGTTTTGTCCAATTATTCAAACATGCTAGCTGGTACATTAATACTTACAAGCTTATAAAATTCCATTAGACTCATAACTAGTTCATAACAAGTTAAATGCAAACATAATAACTAGTCTAGAATCACATAAAAATCAATATCAAACAGTGCATACACAATGAAGTTATAAAGTCACACTAGCATTCATCAACACTTCAATATTACAATATACAGAGTATATTACAATCAAATGAAGTTGACAGTGTCATTATACCAATTAGAAAATATACTTTTGAAGTGGGATGAAAAAGATGATGCAGGATATATATATATATATATATATATATATATATATATATATATATATATATATATATATATATTATACATGGAAATATGGAATAAGTTTTATTTGCATCTTATAATGTTTCTGAAGACTCTTTAGCTTTGATACTTTCATTTTAGTTTTATAATGTTCCTGCAAAGTTTAAATGTCTAAGCTTAATCTTGTTACTTAAAGTTATATATATATATATATATATATATATATATATATATATATATAAAAAGCTCCTTATTAAGTTAGAGGGTTGTATATGACACTGTTCTTTGTAAAATGCAGTTGACATTAATAATGACTATAATTTAGGCTCATAGAACAACAAAGTCTTGACATTTAAGAAAACTTTGGATGTGATAAAGCTATAAAAGTGAATGGAAGCCCAGGCCAGGTAGGAACTAGGTTCGTAGTCCTTGTGAGTTAGTTCTACACTTCTACAGACATATATGCCCAGTTGTGAGTTAGTTCTACATTTCTACATACATATATGCCCAGTCTTTTACAGAGCTTTTCACATGTGATTCATCAAGAAAAGCACTGCTTATCAGCAAAGAATAACTTGAGATGGAGCTAAAGCAATGAATTTTCTCACACTCAACTCTACAAAACCTGCCTAGCTCGCTTATATATCTTTTCCAGATAACAATGCTCATTATCCTAAAATTAGGGTTACATATGACACTGTTCTTTGTAATGATGAGATAATAAAAATCCGAAAGGAGGCTGTGGACTTCCATGGTGAGAAGGTTCTGTTGGAAAACTACAGTGCTCTTAAATAACACAGGTAACTTTGCATAATTATCAATTCAAAAATCTAGAGAAGATTCTTTAATTTATCTATCAAGAAATTTAATTTATGGGTCTCATTCAGAAAGTCTTACAACAGCCCTTCTTCACCACCGACTTGCTTTACAAGCTTGTGAAGGAATGCGAGATACTGATCGAACATTGACTTTATGAGCTTTTGGAGGAATGTTCAGGTTGCACAAAAAGGGAAGAAACAGCAGTCACAAAAACAAGGAGGAGGAACTATAATAGAGATGGATTTATAGAATTACCAGTCATAGACGGAGGAGCAGTCGCAGACAGAGACGGCGCTGTGCGGCGACGGCGACGGCGCTCTGCTGCGATGGCGTTCTGCAATGGCGATGGTGCAATGGCATTCTGCATTGGCGTCTATCTGAAATTAGGCTAGCGTCTTAGGATTTAGTGTAACACCCCGTGTTACGGCCTTCAATCACGTATTAATTATTTAATTAATCCCGTTAATAATAATTAAATATGATTTAATTCGGTTAGGTTTCTCATTAATTAATTAATGAGGTCCACCATGAACCGTGGACCCTTGCCTAAATGAGAGTCTTAGGCCTATTAGGAATAAAGGAAGTAGGCCTTTTACTATTCAGATTATGATTAGGATTCTCTTTAATTAATTAATATGATCCACTATGGACCATGGACCCTTATCTCTAAAACAAGTCCTTAGTCCTATAAGGAATAGAATTAGTAAACCCATACCATTCAGGCCCTAATTAGGAGTCTTAAATATATAAATAGGGATATAGAAGGCACCTAGATCTTTCACCACAATAACCTCTCACCACACAAGAAGTTCCAAGAATCCCCTTAGGAGAAATCAAGAAAGAAGAAAGCTTAAAGAAAGACCCTTCATAGCCAAGGAATTAATTAAGGCTAAGAGGTAACCCATGTCTCAACAAAACCTATTTTCATAGCTATGTTTCCCCTCTTAGGATTTCCCCCATGTTCTTCTGAGATTGATGATTCGTTATAATGATCTTGATAATTGGTATTATGATTCCATGGGTGATCTTGATGTTCTTGAGGAGTTCTTGATGATTAAAAGGTGTTCTTGATGTTCTTGATGATTATGTGATGTTCTTGATGATTATATGATGTTCTTGATGCTTATGTGTTATTTCCTACCGAGTCTTGATATTAAAAGATGAATCGTGTTCTTGTTGATTTAAAAAGTAATTAAGAACCCTAGGTTATATCGTGAGATTTGTGTGGTATTATTCTTGGTGTATTGGGCGGGAATTCGCATGATTGGGTGTTGTTTATATTTAGAAAAGCATGTTAGGATATGTGCCGTATGTTTCTTGATTTCGATCCGTTAATTGTCTACGTGTTGTTGTCAATTGCGTTGAAAGTGTCTAAGCATGGCTTCGGGTTCCACAAAGGTTTCCGGGGCGTTATTGATGAAAAAGAGTCAGTGGGGGGTAGGTGGGGGTAGGGGACCCGCCACCTACCCGCGGCCAAAAAGGGCAGCTCCGGCAGCGGGCAGCCGGCGGGCGGGCAGTTGCCCGCCGGGCACCCGCTGCCCGGAACAGTAACGCCGGCGGGCAGCCGGCGGGTGAACCCTCACCCACCGGCTACCCGCTAGAAAGTATCCCAACCCGGGATTCTGGCTTCCCCGTTTGATGTTCCCCCGACCCCCGTGGCGTCCCAACGGACCCCTCCTATCGTGCCTATGTCTAGTTTGATGTTCAGATATCGTTCGTAGGTCGAATGAGTCTTGTGTATTGCATACTAGTTGAATTGGTATCCCGTTGACCTAGGTATAAGAAGTATGAACCCCTTAGGAGTATTCTTAGTTGTGGATGACCACGCATAGGTTTCGTTATACGTTTCCCCCTTCCCAATGTGTTAATGTGGGTTGCATGTGCTTGCTATGTGTTATGTATGCATGTTACCCCGATTTGGTTGAGATGAATCTGACTATACGGGCAGTCGGATAGGCTGAGAACCATACCGGCTGTTAACCAGGTTGGTAAATACCGGTCAGGTATATAAATATTATATAGGACTGAGGTCCACTATACGGGCAGTTGAATGGGTTGAGAACCATCCCAACTGTTAACCAGGCTGGTAGAGACCGGTCAGGTATATAAATATTATATAGGACAGAGGTCCACTATACGGGCAGTTGAATGGGTTGAGAACCATCCCAACTATTAACCAGGCTGGTAAAGACCGGTCAGGTATATAAATATTATATAGAGCTGCGGTTCATCGGTCGGTTGCGATCGACCCCTCCGTGCTGTGAGACGGGGCAGGGTGCTGCGGGGCCGTGTCAGAGCTATATGCGCTGACCCTCATGTATAGGCATGCGATTGGTCCTGTGGCGCCAACAAAGTGTGCTATATGATGAGATGAGAAGGATTGATGATATGACTGTTATGGAAACGTGACCATAGGGCTCTTGCTAGTAATGCTTAATTGTGATTATTGGTTGTGCTTATCTATAACTGTGCCCTATGTGAGAATTGTATATGCTTGATTATGACTGTTGGTTGTGTGTACCCCTATTTGTCGAGTCGGTTCCTTGATTTGAAAGCTAGAGTCTCTTAGGATATATCTTCATGCTTCTAAATGACTTTTCGTATATCTATGTATATAACTATATGTATTGTATTTCAACGCGTTGGAGTGGGTTACCAGCATCTCTCGCTGAACAGATATATTTGGCTTTCAGGCACAGAAGAATAAGTCACTGGAGCGTGCTAGAACTTGGAGCGTAGAAGTAGATAGTTTCCCTTTCGACCTGCGTGCCATGCTTATGCATTTACATTATTGAGGATATTAGTTAGTTAGCCTGTGCACCTGAGTTCTCTAGCTCAGGTGTGGCATAGAACCCCGTACTCTTGTATTATGTTTTGGGATTTAATGAGATTTCACCTTTATTTTATAAGTTTTAAATGTCTTGAAAATCTGGGGTGTTACATTTAGATTTTAATTTTTATTTTTATTATATTATATTTGATTTTAATTTCAATTTTCTTTAAAAATGACAACGTTTAACTTTAAAAGAAAATAATAAATTTTAAACCAAATATTGCGATAGAATTCAGTCGGTCGTTAATTCCGTCGCAATATTTAGTCCATACATCAAAACTTAATTCATTTAACGATGGAATCCAGTTGGTCGCAACTTCCGTCGCCATTGCGCAACGGAAAGAAAATCCATCTCATTTTCCGTCGCGAAATGGCGACGGAAATTAGTTCCGTCGAAAATTCGGTCGTGAATTTTTTGCCGCCAATCTTTCGCGGGCTTTGTTTTATCTTTGCGTCAAAATTCGCGACGGAATTTAATTCCATCGCCATTTCCGTCGCAATTTCGCAACGGAATGTATTCGGTCGCTAAATGGCGACGGAATATTGTCCGTCGCGATTTTCCATCGCGATTCATGATTTTTCTTGTAGTGTTCCTTTTCAGTACACAGCGGAGCGAACCGTCCGAGTGTAATCGATATTTGATTTGAGCACGCGTTAGCATCAGCAAGCTCAATTTTCCCGTCTCTGGCCAGTGCCATAACTTTGTCTTTGAAGATAAAGCATTTCTCAATTGGGTTATCCACCCGTGTAGCTTCATCAGGATGTTTCATTTTCGGCAACTCAATGAGTCTAAGTTTGAGTAGCTCATCAAACATAGGAGATACATCGAAATCCATGAAAGGATAAGACTTCTTCTGCCTTTCTTCAATTGTCGGCCTTCTACCACCCCTTGACGGGCCAGAGAATGGTCGTGGCCTAGGTCTTTCAGCTGCTTTAGTGAAAACTGTCATTGGTGTAGCCTTCACATTCATCACTTCCTTCTTTTCTTGCTTTGGAAATGATTTGTTCCACTTTTTAACTTCTTGTTTTTCAGGTGCATTGGAGGAGCTAGGCAAGTTCAATATGTTGAGCCCTCCGCTGGCTTCGATGCTCAACTCCATGTCGTGAGCACGACTGGATAACTCCTCAAAGGACTTTGGCTTAATCCCTTGTAGGATATAGGAGAGTTCAAAGTGCATGCCTTGGATGCACATTTCAATTGCAGAACTTTGGTATATTCTTTCTTTGCAATTCAGGCATAGTTCCCTCCACCTTTCGATGTAGCTACCGGCGCATTCGCCCTTCCATTGGCGAGTGGTAGTGAGTTCCAAGAAGCTAACTGTTCTCCTCGTGCTATAGAAACGGGTTAGGAACTCACGTTCCATATCATGCCAGGTATCAATATAGCCGGGCGCGAGGTCAGTGTACCAATCAAACGCAGTTCCCTTTAATGAACGGACAAACTGCTTTACCAACAGATCCCCATAAGTCCCTGCATCATTGCATGTTTCCACAAAGTGGGCAATGTGCTATCGAGGGTTTCCCTTGCCATCAAATTGCTGGAACTTAGGGGGTTGATAGCCGTATGGCATTTTCAACTTTTTAATTCTTTGTGTGTAGGGTTTAGAATATGAATATGAAGGTTGGCATTCATCCAACTTGCCTTTGATGGCTCCCATTATGTAGTCCTTCAACTGATCCACCGGTATCATGCCTTCGGTAAGTGGAATAGTTTTCTCAGTTGCAGGTAAGTGGGAAGCAACTTCACCCGCTGCATAGCTAACAGGAGGTGGTAGTGATTGCTGACCAACCTCTTCTTGCCCTTCGGGCTGATTTCCTAGAGCACGGCTTCCTTGTTCCGCCATGATACTTCCTACCCTATCATCGAGGGTGTTAAGCCGTTTCTCTTGATTTTGGAGGGTGACAGCCATTCCTTCCAGAGACTTAGCAATTCTAGCTAATTGCTCCTCCATAGACTGTGTTGTCGCCATGGCTAGCATGACATTGTAGACATGTGACCACTCAAGTGCAGCCTTCCATAATGGATGTGGCGGAGTTACGGGGGAAGTGCTCCCGCTATTAGCGTTCCCTTGCATAGAAGTTGGACTACCACCATTGGTAGCTCCCTTGGGAGAAGGTGGACTTCCAGCAAAAGCAATTGCCTTTGAGGCAGCAGGGGCCTTGTCAAGCCTTCGAACTACACGTCGTGCCATGGACTGAGGTTCAGGCACTTGGACCCCCAAATCCTTTACGCGGTTCCTTGTCAGCGGACCTTGAGTTTCTGGGTAGTGCCAGAGCTAGCTACAGGCGTAAACTTGGACTTAGTAGCTTGGGCATAGGTCCTCCTGAACATGGGATTGTTCGATGCCATTTGATGCGCAGGTAGAGATAGATTAGTAGTAGAGAGATGAGAGGCAGAGCTATCCCACTAGGCGTGCCAAAATATGTAAACGCGAAAAACTTGAATTATATATATTCAAAAGTCAACGTATCGGTTACAAGTAGTATCAAGAATATATCAAATGGCAGGGGTACAA